AAAATCTTTACGATCTCTCTTGGCAGCTTGTTCCTGTTCTCTGTCATTCTGAAGGTATTTTTCCTTGCTTTAGCATGGAACTTCTTGTGTTCTAGTTTCTGTCTGTTGTCCCTTGTTCTATTCTGCACTCCACTGAAAAGAATTCACTCCCATTGGCTTCACTCCTGAACTTAAGATATTTGTACACAGTAAAGAGATCCCCTTTCAGTCTTCTTTTTTCCTGGCTGCCCAGTTGTGGTCTCAGCCTTTCCTCGTATAGGGGGTGCTTCAGGCCATCAACCATCTTTGTGGCCCTCTGCTGGCCTTGATCTAGGAGATCCCTGTCTTTTTTTGAACTGGACTCATTGGTCAGTAAATGCACAGTTTGGGATGACTGCCTTGAAAAATATCTCTCTTGTACGAATATCTCAAAAACGTTTGGTCTCAGAGGTTATTTGACAATTTATACAGAGCAATTTGATCGTCAATAAAGATTTATTCATTTGCATCTGTAATCATTAGACCAGTCTGCATATATGTGTATATGTGTATGTTTATAATGAAGCTTGAAAAGTGATTTGACTTACAGAGAAACCCTGGGCCTCATTAGGATGGTACATTGTGATGACAGTGACAGCTGTGCTGCAGAAGGAAGGAGATTTGTCTGCATCCAGACAGGGACTTCCACCTCTGAGGATTATGTGATGACAGGCAAAGTAACACAAAGGATGTGATGGGGGCTGGAATAAGCATGTTGTAGTTCAGGAAACCAAAGCTCTGTCTAACATAGTAGCATGTCTCTGCCAAAAGGTCCTTCAGGGAAAGATGTAGGAGCAGCATGGTTAGAGAGTAATCCTTCTCCTCATTAGTACATCTAGTTCTGTCAACATATGTCTTTGGATGATAGCCTGTGTGTGGATGTAGGGAATGGTGTTCAAGAGAAAGGAGTGCAAATTATTTTCGTGTCCTAGTTTGCATTGATTAGTGGAACAGTGTCAGTGTATTACAAGCATGAAAAGGGCTTCCAAAACTGCTGTTTTAGAGGCATTGACTGTACTTCCAGAAGTGATTTACACTATATGCCTGTAACTCTGTACCATTCCTGTCACCTTTGCAAAGAAAGGACCTTACTGTGTTTTAAGATAAAAAATAATTTCAAGAGCACCCTAGGTAGATATATAAGATGAAGGTTTGCATGAGGAAAAAGAACTAGAGGTGTAACTGACTTCAGTATATTCTTGCAGCTGGAGTTTCTATTTGTAGATATGATCTGCAGGGAGTCTGCTGTAGTATTTTCATTGTCTAGGTTCTGATGTATAGGACAGACACACTTCAGCTCCCAGTTTCTTCTTCTCTGTTGGATTTTGCATATTCCTGTCGTAGAATAAGAGAAAATGTTCAAGCATTTTCTAAGTGTACTGCTCCATGGCTTCATTTTGCCCTTAGTTCCCATGAAGAAACATTAAATGCAAATCATTTTTCTTTATTTGCAATAGGTCAAACTAATTTAGCTAAAGTTCACAACCATCTGCATAGAAGATTATTGTAAACACAATAAAATTCAAAGGTCATTTCTGTGACTGAAAGTGGATCAAAGGTGCCTTCTGTGCTATTTTAATCCACTTCAGAAACTTGTAATGAATTTAGTAAAGGGTGAAAGTTCAAGGCTTTCCCTTGCTGTTGCTTTTTATATAATGCTATTAACTATTCACTGCTCTATCATTATAACATGTTCAATGGTGTATGAAGGAGAAACTAGCAAGAGGAACTAAGCTATAGCATAAGACCTCCTGATGTATGCTGATTTTGTTGATATGTTTCATCAGTTGAACAGCAGCAGCTTAGAAAGCAGCAGTCAATCTTATTCCTGATTATGAAGTCTGAGTGCTTACAACCCATTACAAAAGTAAATTATGAACTCTAGAGCAGAACATTTTTGCACTCTGACACTGTGCAGCTCCAAAAATAAACCTAAATAACAAACTGTAATCTTCAGATGTTTCCCATGGTTAAAGAGGTATATTAATTGCCTAGTTTTGTTAACCCGCTAATATTTTGGGTTACCCTTTTACTTAACAGTCAGTTTTCCATGCAGCTAGTATAGTGCAACTGTGGAGATTATCATGCCATGACATTACTCACAGACTAAAGAAGCAACCTGAACCATGAATAAATTTGGCTTACTACTTGCGGGTAATGGTCTTTCAGAAACTGTTCTTTGCAATGCAGATAAGCAGGAAAATCTGCTCAAGATTTCCTGGGATGATAAGCAATTTGACAGTATCAAAAATGAAGAGGAGTTTCTGAAGAAATATGTAATGTAATTTTTTTTTATACCTGGACTAATCACTTGCCCTGCAGCTCTCAGTGATTAAGTTGTGTTAGTACTCTGCAGGAACAAGATATGAAATACTCTCTGTGCTACAGAGATTCAGATTATTCTTCAAGTCAGGTCCTGTAAGTATGAAACAAGAATGCTAGTAAATGTGACAGCTTAACAACAATGGTATTTGATTTCACATTAATTTATCTCTTGTGGAGAACAGACATATTGTTTTTTAGTTCACTATAATGTGAATTCCCAGTAACCTATTATATTGCACAATGAAATTGGTTTACAGTAATTAAAATATATTTGCTGAAGAACAAGGAGTTAGAAAGAAATCTTAGGTTTATTTCATTTAGTTTTGAGCAGGTAAAATGACTTTTAGTTCTGACTTCATTATGGCAGTGGGCTTAAGATTTTGAGTGCTCTTAGATGACCAGAACCACAGACTGAGAAAGAAATGTGTTATTTTGGTTATGAGGTGAACTACATTTATACATATTTTTACATCTTTCAATATTCAATATTTTTATTTCTTTTTTTATTATACATATTCTTTTTTATTATATATTTATAAAAATATTCAATATTTTTATTAAAAATAAAAATATATTAGATAGTTCAACTGTGCTGTAGATCCATATACAGTCTTGTATTTATTTTTCAGAGTTAACAGGATAAAAACTATGGAGTTGTACAGAGGCCATGGTAACTATTCCTCTCTCTGAACCCTATCTGGAGTGAAAAGAAAAGCATCCTTTGACTACAGCCTAGAAACTTCTTCCAAGTTTGTCTAAGTCGTTGATAAAAGACTGTGACTACAGAGTCATGTGTAGATTAATAGCTAAATTTCATTCCTGATGCAGACAATTCTTTTGTATGTAACTCTTTCAGGTAGCAAAGTGCCAGTCTGAAATTACCCTGTTCAGCTGATTAAGTCAATTGCAAAGAAAGTAGCAATGTTTCCTCAGGAAAGCACGGACACCATCAATAAGCTTTCTAAGCTTTATAGCACTACCCAAAAGGGAATTATCCCCTGAGCGGATGAGGCAATTAATCTCTGTTTCTATTTCTTCACTTGGAGACTTCTAGCTAGAATGAACAAAGTACTTTCAAGCAATAATAAGGTTGCTCCCTGACAGTTTGTATTGAGATTTATAGGATACTGTCCTCATAGAGACATTTCCCAGTGGAATGTCTCTTTTCACTGGAAGCCTTTGGAAATTGCAAGAACCACAGAGTGTGCACCTATCTGTACCTGCTTCTTTGTGGCTGGATTGTGTTAGTATTCTGCAGGAACAAGATATGAAATACTCTCTGTGCTACATTATATTCAGATTATTCTTCCAGTCAGGTCCTGTAAGTATGAAATGAGGATGCTAGTAAATGTGACAGCTTAACAACAATGGTATTTGATTTCACATTAATTTATCTCTTGTGGAGAACAGACATATTGTTCTTTAGATGCATCTGTATTCCTCAAAGAAAGCTAATCCAGCTTGAAAGAAACTTTGAATGCCAGGTAGAATATCGTTAAATGTGATAGATGCATCACTGAATGATCTTAGCATGCCTGTTGAAGGAAGGAATTTCGGGGAAGGCAGGCAAAAATTGAAGTTTTCTGCTATGAAAAGTTTCTTGTTAGTTGTAATGAGCATCACCAACGTGTCTCAGAGCCATCACTGAAAAAGATGGAAATTACTTTCGCTTGTGCTATACCCCTTTCTCTTGAGAAGTAAATGTAGTGTGATTAAATTCTCAATTTAATTAGCATTATTTGCTCTGCAGGACAAAATCCCATGTAGGTTATATATCAAGATATAGCAGACTTTTGCAGTAGTTTGTATGTGATATGCACTTTTCCTGCTACTGTTTAAATTAGCAGTTAATGCTATGTATACTTCCTCTAAATTTGACTTGTGAAAAGGAAAAAGCAGAAAAAGTGAAAATACTCAGGTAAGATATTAAGGCAGTATTTTTTATTTCTTTATGTTTTGCTCTTCAGTGGGACACTTACAAAGGATGCTCTGAAAGTAATGACTCTTATTTATTTCCATGGAAGCTACAACAAATGCAAAGAATGCAATAACACTATTTTATGGAGCAAATTATCAGCTACAAAACACTATTTTTTAACATAGTCACCAGCATCATCCATGCATTTTTACTAGCGATGAAACAAGACCTTGCATGTTGCATTCATTAAAATCTGTGCCAGTGGAGGTGAAATGACCTCACTGTCGTCTTATCCACTGTTTGATCTCTGTAAACATTCAGCAAGCGTCCATGATTGTCAGTATGTGTTGTTTTTTCTGCATGGATGAATTCAATGACACACATTAGCTTCCTCTACAGTTCTATATCAGGTATTATTTTGTCAGACAGCCCCCTCTGCTGCTGTCTGTCACATGGCAACAAAATTTAATGGAATAATAGTGGGAAGGTTCAGCCTCTACTGCCGTACCACCAACATCCGCCTCTGATGTCATGGGCCAACATCATAAAATAGGAGGCATTATTTTTGCAGCAGTTCTCGTAATTTCAGTTAGCTTTTCTGCAACTTGAGATACTGAAAGAGTATACAGCACTGTAGTGTAATCTTTGTTGTTGATTATCCAGATGTTTTTTGGATCACAAAAACAAAGCTCTAAGTTAATGGTTTGTTTTTCCTGTTCTGGTGCAAACTTATATCAGTATGGGAACTGTTGAATCACGGCCTGAACCGCTGATTGATCACCTGAGGAAAGGACTGAGTCAGCCATGGGACTCCACCTCTCAGATGCCATTTAAGGTCTGACTGCTGCAGGGGAAGGATCTCCTTCTGGAGATCCCTCCTCTGTGTAATCTTTTTTGGGAACCTAGATCTTTGGATACAGGTGAGCATTCCTTCCATGTTTGTTTCTTTTTCCATTTCCACCATAATAATCTTTCCAGCAGTAACACCAACTGTAACAGGTACCAAATGCAGAAATAAGTATGTGAACTGACTTCAAGCAATGTTCAAAACAAGGAAATCTTGCTTGCGATTTACAGGCAATGTCCAATTATCTATGGTGCTTTATAGTCTGTGTTAGTAAAGCTTTGTGCAATGATCAGTTATGTATTCTTGTGTTGTTTGTCCTCATATAGACAACCTGGGCAACCTGATCTAGCTGTGGATATCCTTATTCATTGCAGGGTTGTTGCAACAGATGTCTTCACAGTTCCCTTCTAGCTCTAAGGATTCCATGATTCTAACAGTAGTGAGGCACTGGCACAGGTTGCCCAGAGAAGCTGTGGATGCCTCATACCTGGAGGTTTTCAAGGTCAGAGCAGATGGGACTTTGTCTAGTAGAACATATCCCTACCCATGTCAGGGGATTTGAAAATAGATAGTCTTTAGGGTCCTTTCCAGCTCAAGCTATTCTGTGAAATGGCTTGCTTTGGAAACATGATGTTCTCTAATCAACTATTAAAAGAATAAGCCTTTAAGTGCTTTGTTTCAGTCAATTTATCTTCATGATTGATCCATGCCTGTAGTATTTACTCCTCTGTGACATAGGGTCCTAGTTAACAAACTTCTTATCTGTATGAAACTGAATGAGAAATATCTTATGTTTTATAGTTATGGAGCTTAAGCTGGATTGCAGAAGCACTGTGCAATTTTTTCTTAAACATCTTGAAAACATTATGGTCTTTCATGAATATTGAAGAATGATTTATAGGTAAATTCTGTAAACTGGAAGAATGATTGCTTTTCCCTGAAAATCTTTCAGTGTATAGTATGGCTTCTTGAAATGTATCTTACGTAAGCAAAGTGTTGGTATTAGTAGCTGGGACTCAAACGGAACAATTGCTTCTGAAGTACATTCAGGCTACATCTGTGGTTGAAGAATATGGAAGCATCTTCTCAAAAAATGTGTCAACCACGGGGATGACTTGCCTGTATGTATGAGTAGTGAACAGTCAGGCTTCTTTTTCCAAGCCTATCTGCCCTTCAGCAGGAAAAACCCTTCTTGGCTGGAAAGAAACAGTCCATTATCTGTTGTAAGAGTACTTTGACTTTCCCAAAGTTGTTAGCTGCGTGCCTGTAAGTCTGTTTCTCAGACTTGTTTGCATTATTTCTCCAGTTTATCCAGTCACTTCTTCAACAATTATTTCATTGCCTCTTTTTGGTCTCAGTCAAACAGCAGATATTTTCCTGTTTTTTTTTTTTTTTTTTTACTGTTTCTAAATGATAGTAATCCTCTAAAATGGTCTTCTTTGCAGTAAGTTGTTGCAGGAAAATTCTTCTGGAAACTGTGTATTATCTCAGAACTGACATATATAGTATAGTCATGACTATCGAATTACCCTTGATGCTGTTAAATGAAACAGCATTAGTGACAGTATTTCTATCAGAAACATACCCAAACAATAAATTTTATCACAGCTTGTGAGCTGACAACTAAGCTGTAGCATGCTGTGGTGATTTGGCCTACTTATTTTCCAGTCCAAGTGATTTCAGTGATGTCTTTTGAAAGTCTGTAAGCTAAAACTATATTTTATGCATTGATGGCATACCTGAATTTGGCTACAGAGGGACAACCGTGAAAAGAGCAGTTGGATCTGGAGGCTTTGCCTGCAGCCATCCTGGTTTCCTCAATTTCCTTGTTAGTGGGGCTGCTCTGCAGTAGCTAATAGAGTGCTCTGACAAGGTAGGGCTGTCGCAGTGAAGGACTTTGGAACCCTAGGTCCTCTGAATCAAATACCTTCATAGTTCTTATTAAAGTTCATAGGAGTTAGGGATGTAAATATCAAGTAGAAAATATTCTCCTGAGGAACTGATGGTTGTGTAGTCTAGGCGACTGAGCTTTACAAGTTGAGTTGAGTTATTTTTTAAATCAAGTAATTGTAAAGCTTTAGGATGAATTCATCCTTACAACTTGTTCTTCTTAATGGAAGCAATCACCACACTAAAAACAAATAAAAAGACACCCCAGACCCTCAAGTGAACATAAGATTAGCAGAACAAAGAAAATATGTCTTTCTTTCTTGTCAGCAAAATAGTTTGGAGAAGTATAGAAATGTTACTTAGAATTTCACTGTCTAGCTGTCTGTACCTGAAAAAATATTGTATTTATATCTAACTTCACTAATGATTTCTTGAATTTAGGAGTAAATTACATTTTCTAATTATTTTTGCAAAGGCAAAGATCTTACTTCCCTACTTTCACAACTAAAAGAGGCACAAACTAACATACAACAAAACTGAAAATAACTCAGAGAAGTTTGTGGTTATATCCTAACATGAACAACATGAAGAAGGTGATGAGCTCTATTAGCTAACAGTTACTGAATTAAGTGGGTTGCAAAGAGTGCCTGTGTTGTGAGATGGGAGATTGTTGTTTTTTGTGTTTTTTTTTAACCCAAGGTTTACAGATTAAAAATGATTGCTAATCCAGCAATCAACTCTTGAACCTTGGATCCTGCCTTGTGACTGTTATAGGAATATTGTGCACTCCTGCAGCCTTTGGACTGACTCATCTGAAGTGTCAATTATTGTTTCTTCAAAAAGTAAGAGAAGTATTGCTTCTTTCACCTAACAGAGGATGCAAAGTCAAAGAAAAAATTTAAGTCAGTGAAAGTGGAAAGGAGAAAATATCTGATCTTCAAATGTATCACTCCGCTGTGCAATAATTTGGAATCCATATCTGCTATGTAGCCCTATTTTATACTGGAAAAATTTTGGGGGGATTCCTGTTGCTTTTGATAAGTCATTATGTATATTTCATTGTTTTATTAATTCTAAAGTTATATGAAAGTTGAAAAGCTCCTTTGTTATTTACTGCAGCATATTGGCAAGAACAGCAGTAAAAGTGGCTTTTTTTCTTTAGTTTTTGTATACATCTCATGACAGGAAAGAAATTTTTATGAAAGATGCAAGTATTTTTACTTCTGTTCAGGAAGCAAAAAAACAAAATATGCAACTATGTAAACACTTATTGAGGATAACATACATGGCCTGTGTACAACGTATGGTACAGTGTCCTGAAAGCAGTGGGATTATTTGCCCCGTGCAGGTTTTTGATTGTGCTTACAATAAAACAGGTTTGCTACAGGCTAGGTATGGTGTATGTCATAGTTATTACTGAGGTATTTGGTGAACAAAAAGGGATTGCTGCATCTGAGTACTCTGGTAATTGAAGTTTTTAGACTTTGACAGAATAGACAGAAGCTGCAAATGAAAGAAAAAGCCTGGCAAAAGCCTTGATATGCAGAAGTACTTTGGAATAATCCTATAGCAACTGGGATGTGTCCCCAAAGAGAAACTATGGCAGGGAAAGCAATTAAAACTAGGTCTAATCAAATATAGTTCCAGTTGGTGCAAGTAATAATAACTTGGTATTTACAATCTGTTCTGATGTTGTAGAATTCACTGGAATTGGGGTGATACACAGCACAGGATATCTTATCTTTTGTAGCAGAACCCAAGTAAAATAATAGTGCATATCCTAATTTGCAGGGCTAAGATACCCACCTACCTGTGGGTATCTTACCCACTGCTATTGTATTGTCTTCCACGCTTCAATTTTATGAAGCTTTGTAGGAAGAATATAATTTGTTCCCTTTCAACTTGTCTCGAGGTGACAGACCATCATCATCTGTCAGTAAGGCATAGAGGATACAACGAAGCTTAAATGAACAGCATCAAATTGACAGGTTTCCTTACATCAGTCTTCTGTTGTATTTTCCATGCCAGATGTGGCCCTTTTCCTTGTCTCTGAATAGTGATAAGGTGAAAATTATGTAAAAAATTGTGCTTTTTGTGTTCTTTGAAAGTGATAAAGAATCCTCACTGATTTTGTGAAAGCTTTTTTTTTTGTGGTTCTTTAGAGAGTCAGTAAACATTACTAATGGATTAAAAACAAATGTTTAAGTATAATTAACTATAAATTGAAATTGCTGATCTGAAATTAACTTGGAAAGTGGGTTTTTCCAAGTTAATGTGACATGCAGTTTCTTAAATAACATCTTGCTTTGCAAAGGTAAAGTTAATAGCCCTTATATGGCTGAGATGATCAGGTTTCCTATCTTTTTAAAAAAGGAAAAAGGTGAGTGTTCTAAAGAGCTGTTGGTAGGGACACGTCATCTGGGACAGGTGGGTCATCTTATAGAATACAATTTAGTAAAAAAGGAATAAACGCTTTAAGAACAGCAGTACTCTCTCTGGTTTTAAACTATATTGAAATTGAGTTTGTCTGCTTCTCTACTGACTTTATTGTGAGATGGATGTATGCTCAAAATTTCCACCTCACCACATATGTGTAGAATGTGTAAGTGACTGTCATGCTTTATTGACCAAAGGTTCAAATAGGATGGTCTCTAGAGCAAATAAGGTGCTTATCATATAGAAGTTCACGTGTTTTGGATGTTAATTTTAAATCCATTCTAATTAACGCACTTATTTGTCAACATTTGTTACATTTCAGAGCAGGAGCAGACTGCGTCTTGGGAGCTATTATGTATAGTTCAAAATATTCCTGCAAAATGATGTTGCACTGTTTTTTTTAAAAAAAGAAAAAATGAACAGAGGAGCTTTGTCCATTGTTTTCATTTCTCAGTGAATAGATTCATTAAATGTATGTTTGTGGCTCAGACTAGGTTATTCCTTAAGGTGCTTATAGCAAGAGCAGGGTTGGTCTCCTCACTGGTGACAGGACAAGGGGAAATGGCCTCAAGTTGCACCAGGGGAAGTTTAGGTTGGATATCAGGAAAAGCTCTTTACTTAAAGGGCCATTAAGCACTGGAATTAGACTCCTCAGGGAGGTGGCTGAGTTACCATTCCTGAATGTGTTTAAAAACCATTTGGATGTGGTGCTCAGGGATATGATTTAGAGGAGGGTTGTCAGTTAGG